ACATAGAACTCATAAGTTTAACCACCTCCCAATCCCCATGACTAAGAGGAATCTCAGGAGAATTCATGCTGGCTGGAGAATTTGGGGAATTGAAGTCAAGACATCTTAAGTTTAAAATATGTGGAATGAATAAACAATCAATCAATGTCTTTCAGCTCTGAGGACACTCCTGCTAGACAGCTGCTCCAGATGGTAAGTGGATGTTTCCTTCTCTATTTTTGTTCTTCCTTTGTGGTTTATTCTATTTTTGGATTCTGAACTTTTTTTTTCCTGAATAAAAGCATGATGGAACAACAGCTCCACCTCCAGGAACATCCTTCTAAGATTTAGTGGAGGAAAGAGTTTTTGCATGAGTTAAAGGTAAAATTTTCAGCGTTGTGTATTTCCAGTGCAATAATAGACATCCGGTGTCTTCTGTCCTTAGATCATTCATTTGCAGATAGAATTGAGAGTTGCTTTTGAAGGCAGAGAATCTCCCTCTGATGGCTGGAGAACAGTGGTTGATTGTTTCTGTTGAATAGTGAGCCAACCATTCCGGACCCTTCCCTGGAAACTGTCTGATCCAAAGCAGGCCATAGTTATTTATCCTTTTATAGAACATGTGAGTTTTGTGGATTCTCCTGCTCTTTTTTGTTCTGGACAAGACTGAGTGAGAGTGACTTGTGAATCCCCATCTGGAAAGGAAAGAGGCAGATAGATTACTTTAATGAATGATGAAAACCAGTATGATCAAGTGATATCCCTGTCTACAGCACAGAGGCGTAGCGTGGGGGGTGCAGGGGGGGCCGGCTGCACCGGGCGCAACATCTGGGGGGGAGCGCTCGCACTCGCAGTTCTCTTCCCCTTCCTGGCTCACTCACTCTTTCTGCAGTGCTGGCTGTGCGAATCCGATCCGAGCCGCCGGGTCGCCGCCCACTGTGGAGGGGGGGGCGCAAATTACTTGCCTTGCCCCGGGTGCTGACAACCCACGCTACGCCACTGCTACAGCAATCTTCTCACAATTTAACTCCTTATTAAAGAACAATTTTTTATTTTTAAAAAAGTCAGAAAGATTTACATGGTGGTGTTGTGAGGAACAATAACATGTTGAAGAGCCATAGCATTGTGTGAATGGAAAACTTAATAAATCTGTGATGACTAGAATAGGCCGAAAAGATGTCCTTTTTCCTTTTTTTTAAATTTTTATTGTTGTTTTAATACAATTCAGTAGTACTTGGTGAGATCATGCACCTGTATAGAGTGAGGCATCATCAATATGGAGAAGATACCCAGAGTCACAGTATATCTCTGCCCCCATCCATCCAAGTGAAGCTGTTGAGGTTCTGTTCTAGGGCTGTGAGGATCTGGAGGGGGTAGAACAGGCTGCAGCTCAACACTGAGAAAAGTGAATCATTCTGGCATCTGGCTATCGGATCTAATAAACCGAGTCTTTCCATTTTTGATTTTGGATAGAGTAGTATTGCCCTGTTTGGACTTGGTGAACAATCTGAGGTTCTGAACTCAGCTTCTGCTTGAAGAACATTCAACAGCTATGATCATGGGGGCCTTTGCATATTGGGCAGCAGTTTTGCCAATTCCTGGACTGGAACAGCATGCTGATTACTGACCTCTCATTTGGAGTAGTTCAATGAATTCTACATGGAGCTGCCCTTGAAGACCATCTGGGAACCAGAGTTATGTGTGCATGTCTTTAGGCCCACTTAACACTGCTAGTTTGTGAGTTGCATTGGCTTCCAATAGGCTCCTGTTATGATTCAAGGTGCTGGTTATCACCTTTGAAGCCTTACATGTCATAGAAAGGGGCAACTTGTGGGACCACTTTATTCCAAGAACATCTGCCTGCCCCATTTGCTCCCATAGTAAAGGCATGCTGCAAATTTCCCCTTTTAAACTTTCACACAGAGCTGGCAGAGCACGGAAAGCAATCTAGTTGCCAACTGCCATTCAAAAACAACAAATGACAAAGGATTTATTTTGAGGAAGAGAAGTTTTAGGCTCCTTGAGCAAAGCATTTTTTTCACTGTGTATCCTGCACAGTAATAAGTGCCGGTGTCCTCAGGCTTTAAACCAGTCAATTGAAGGAACACCTGGTTTTTGGATTTATCCCTTGTGATGGTGATCCGATTCTGGAGAGCACTGTTATAGTTAGTGGTTCCACCAGCCCAGATAGCACCATTCCATTCCAATGCCTTTCCAGGGGGCTGACGGATCCAGTGCACTCCATAGCTTGTGATGGCATATCCAGAGAATGTACAAGTCAGCCGTAGAGTATCTCCTGGCTTCTTAAGACCATCACCAGACTCAGTATGTGTAATCTGTGATGAAATACCTGTATTCAAAAATATAGAAAGAACAAAAAGAGAAAATGGGTATGAAGAAATGTAGAAAAAAGACCACTTGCTATCTTAAAAAATGTGGGGTTTTTTTCCCTTACATGCAGGAAAGATCATTAAGAAATAAATAAAGATATGTAGCTCCATGACTGAGATATGGAATTTACTCTCTCCACCTGAAACTGATCTGAACTATATTCTCAATTACCGTCTTTAAGAAAAAGCCACATCAGGAATATTTGCATGAAATCACAGATGATAGAAATATAACCAAGTCACATCCTCAACTTCAACTATTGTTGAACAGACCTTGAGCTCATATCAGGAATAGTGCCTATCCACAATGCATCTACTATACAATGATATTCGCTTTAATGAGCAACTTGTGTAGGTGAAATCCCTTCTAGCTGAATTCAGTTCAGAATGAATTCATAGACAAGACCAAGTTATTTTCTTTGAATTGATACAGAAGGTGTTTGATGAGATGGTCTTCCTGAATTGGTTTTGATTTCCAATCTAGACTAGAGTACTGGTTTTGATTTCCAATCTAGACTAGAGTACTTGAGGAATGTTGGTAGATTAATAAGTTTAATTTTCCCATAATGGTCAGTATAAATATATCTATTTAGAAAACTGGTCTTAGAAACTTCAATTATATGAAGGTGTTCTTGCTTTATAAACTGAGCACCAATAGGTATAAACCATTTCAGGAAATAACACAGATCCATTGAGGTATAGACAACATTGCCTCTCTTCAGGACCAAAAAATGGAAGTGGCTGGTAGCTAATGGGCACGGTTTCGCCATGACGCATCCAGCCTGCGGGCTGGCAGTTTGACACCCATGACCTAGAACTAAGAAGAAATTTCCTGACAGAACAATTAACGAGTGGAACAACTTGCCTCCAGAAGTTGTGAATGCTCCAACACTGGAAGTTTTAAAGAAGAGATTGGATAACTATTTATCTGAATTGGTATAGGGTTTCTTCCTGAGCAGGAGGTTTGACTAGAAGACTTCAAGGTCCCTTCCAACTCTTCTGTTCTGTTCTGTTCTGTTCTGTTCTGTTCTGTTCTTCTCTGCTCTTCTCTGCTCTTCTCTGCTCTACTCTACTCTACTCTACTCTACTCTACTCTACTCTATTCTAAACTTGGGCAATTGCACCCTGCAGTAGAGCTCATGACCTTAAGGGGAATGGAGATAAGTATGAACAACTATAAATATGAGCAAATCCATTTAAGTTTTATTTCATTTGAGGATGAAAGCTGTGAGATTTAAAGAAAAGAGCTTCTAGAATGAAGCTGGGCCTTGGGGAGAAACACAAGTAAAATTATAAATTCAGAGCAGAATTAGGTAAATACACACATCACTCTAACCTATTATTTAAATATAAGTCATGGATAGAAGCAAGCCTCAAGCCATTAGGCCTAGGCCCCATATAATGTTAACCATGATTTTCAAAAATAATAGCTAAGTTCATGTATAATTATACTGATACAAAACGTGGTGGTTCAGGCTGTTATTTGTGTCCTAGAATGGCATACATTATAATTCTGCACTGTAAACTGCATTGGTTGTTAATTTGCTTCTAGGTCACATTTGTGATGCTAGTTCTGAGGTTTAGATTCCTTTATGGCATGGGGCTGAGTTATTCGAGGGACTTTCTCTGCCCAATGATGTATCTTTATCCCCTTCATGTCTGAATTTCCATCAGAAAGGACCTAGGAGATGGCACCCAACCTTGGAACATTATTCTTCCTGAGGTGAGATTGGTCCTGTCCATGACATCTATCAAGAACCAGGAAAATCAGGAGATCCAGACAACTCAAAGTGTATAAAGATTGATTGTAAGCTTAAACTCTATACAAGAATCTGAACTACTAACAGTCAAGGGAAATTAGTGGGAGTTAAGAATAGAAAGGAATTCAAGGTGGGCTGGACTTAGATCTCTTGTGGGCATGAAGGGACTCATGACTGATTATGCATTTATCTCCTCTCTCATTTCTTACAACATCTTTCTGGAATTCCCTTAAAACATGGTTGTTCCTTGAATATTTCAGGGGAGTGGTGATTTAGAGAGGTGGCTGCATTGCCTTTAACATCAAATTATCTGTTAAGTGTGTTAATAGTAACACTAATGGATTTTTTTTTCAGTTACAGAATATTTTTAATATTGTTTATTGTATGGTTTATTTTTCATTGTATGCTGCACAGAGCCATGTTTTGCAGCCCTTATGGCTATATAAATATGATGAATGAATGAATGAATAAATGAATGAATGAATGAATGATAGTTCCATTTATTCTCTGCATTGTTCCATAATGACTTTTGGTTGGCTTACTTGTTTTCTTCAATGGGAAACCTCAATTTTTAATTATTTATGTACAGTATATGGTTGCCCAATTCTCATACAAGTGACACAGTGGGGAGGCTTACAACATTAAAATTTATCAGATCCAAATGAATGAATGAATGAATGAATGAATGAATGAATCCTACTTCCACATATTCTCTGCATTGTCCCATAATGATTTCTTGGTTGGCTTCCTTGCTATCTTCAATGGGAAACCCCAATTTTTATTTATTTATGAATGACTCTTGCTGGCTTACATTAAAATTCATCAGATCTGCATGGTTGCTTCTACTACCCATTGTTAGTAGTAAAAAAGGAAAAAGAATAATCAAAATCCTTTGGAAATACTTCTTCCTCTCTCCCTCCCTTATTTATAACTCATCTTTCAGTTCTGTGACTAGGAACATGGGATATCTGCATTTCACTGCTCCATATCATATATGATTCTTGCAGTATAAAAAAAAGAATGAAAATATATACCAGTGATTGAGGAACTTACTGACCAAAAAAGGATTTGTTCAGCAGCTGTGACATTGTGACAAGGTGGATAGATATATTTCAGGAAGGATAATTTTAGAAGGGCTAATTCACTGTGTGTTATTTACGCAGGAATACAAGGCAGTGTCTTCAGGTTTTAGACCATTGAGTTGGACAAATACCTGATTTTTGGAGGTATCTCTTGTGAGGGTTAACCGATTTTGCAAAATACTATTGTAATATACAGTCCCACTCTTTGCAATACGTCCAACCCATTCCAGTCCCTCACCTGGACGTTGACAGATCCAGTCCATGTACACCTCTGCTACAGAAAATCCAGACACTGTACAAGTCAGTTTTATGGACTCCCCAGGCCTCTTAACATCACCACCAGATTCAGTAATGGTAGAACTGGATGAACTGCCTGTGATACAACGATAAAAATATAAAATTAAAAAGGAGAAGATGATGGTGCAGAAGGTAAAAGAATGACATCTTGAAATATTATATGAAATACATTTTTTCCTTACATGCAGAGAATGACAATATGAAACATGCCAAGATTGTCCATTCCATAATGTTAATACTGACTAACTGAAATGAGCAGAAATTCTGATCTCCAGCTGAAAGGAATAATCCTTCCCCTTTAAAGAAGCCGTGGCATAAAATAATTTGCATGGCATTCAAATTGCCCATTATTTAATTAGATAGTACTTTAAGTGCCCAGTACGTCAATTGTGAATTGAAACCCAAAGACATCAAGAACAGATTCCTGTTGCTAAGGACCAAGATTCCATATCACATTTAGATGTCACTGAACTGCGTTGGTGACATCTAAAATTAGTGGAGGTTTGATATGGACCCTCTCTCTTAGAGATTCTTCACAGCCATAGGAATATCCAGTAAAAATGACATTTGCCAGATATGAATCTTGATTAAGAGTCATGGTGGAGCACTGGTACTGCACATGCAGTACTGCAGGCTAATTCTGCCAATTGCCAGCATTTCGATTCTCACCGGCTCAAGGTTGACTCAGCTTTCCATCCTTCCAAGGTCAGTAAAACGAGGACCCATATCATTGGGGCAATATGCTGACTCCGTAAAAACTGCTTAGAGAGGGCTGTAAAGCATTGTGAAGCAATATAGAAGTCCAAGTGCTATTGCTATTGCCATTACAAGCGTGTGGGCGCTCCGGTCCTCAGGGCTCTACTCGGTCTCCAGGGAACTTAGATCCCCAGGCCCGGGATCACCGGCTGATGCTATGCAATGCCAGGTCAGTGGTGAACAAAGCCCCCCTCATTCAAGATCTTATACAAGAGGGGGGTGCGGACCTGGCAGGTATCACCGAGACCTGGCTGGGCACGGAAGGGG